AAAATATAGTTGAGAATTTAAAGGAACTGCATTAATAAATCTGTAGATCAATTTATGGGGTATTGTATTCTTTTTCCTATGGTGTTTTTAATGGTATTAAGTGGTATTATCCTTGATCATTGAATGTTCTTTCATTTATCCAATTCTTTTTTATTTCTTTCAGCATTTAATTATTTTTTCAGTGTCGAGTTTTTGCACTTGTGTTAAAAGTATTTCTGATTTTTTCTTTTTAATGCAATAAGGAATAAAATAGTTTTCTTAATTTAATTTTCAGAATGTTGATTGCAAATATATAAAAATATAATTTAATTATCTGTGTTTGTCATTTATCTTGTGATACTAACTAACTTGTTCTTTGGTTCCAGTGGGCTTTTAGTAAACTTCTTTATAATTTTTTATGTAGAAGAGTATGTTGTGTGCAATACATACAGTTTTATTTTTTCTTATCTAATATGGAGGATTTTATTTCATTTTCTAGTATAATTTCCCCTAGCTAATTCTTCCAGTACAATGTTGAATAGTGTGTTAAAAGTGGAAATTCTTGTCTTGTTTCCAACATTACAGGTAAAGCATTCAGTCTTTCAACCATTAAGTCCAATGTTAGCTGTTTTCATAGATGACTTTTAGCAGGACTCAGAATTTTCTATTAGTAGATTGCAGGGGTTTATTTAAAAAATGGGTATTGAATTTATCAAATGTTTTCCTGTGTCTACTAAAATGATATTTTGGTCATTTATCTAAGTAATATTGTGTATTACCTGAAAGATTTTTGGATATTAAATCAACATCACATTTATGAAAAATAATCTCACTCAATCATGGTGTATAATCACTTGTATATTGCTGCTCAGGTAAGTTTGCTAGTATTTTCTAAAGGTTGCTGTGTTTATATTCAGCAGAGATTTTTTGTCTATAGTCTTTTTTACTTGTGATGCTTTTGTTGGGCTTTGGTGTCATGATAATCCTTCATAGAATAAGTTGAAAAGCATTACTTCTTTTCTTTTTTGAAGTTACTATAAAAATGGTATTACTTTTTTATTAAATGTTGATAAAATTTACCATTTAAGTCTTTGACTTAGGACTTTTTTGTGGAAATATTTTGAATTAATATTTTATTTTTACTAGTTATATTACTAGTCATATACACTATCTTTTAGATACATGACTACTTATATAATCTATTTCTTCGGTTTACCTTTGAAATTTGTGCTTACCAAGATATTTATTTCCAATTTACAGCATTTCATGGTAATAGGTGTTTGAGAAGTTGACCTGGAAAAATCTGGAATAATAATATAGAATGGGTCAATCAATGAATGNATTAGTAAAACTGCCATTTGACTTTGAATTTTATGAAGAAGGCTCTGTCAGAGACTACCTCGTATTTTTCATCAATATTTAGATAAGACAGAAATATATTTTTTAATAAGCACAAATACAAAATATTATTGTAATTGAAGAATGCTTTGATGGACAGACAATTTAATGAATCACAGTAATTAGTACTTAGCATATACAATATGTTAGACACTATTCTAATCCATGACACACTTAGACATAATACCTATAATTTAAAATAAGTTACTTAAAAATTCATTTGAAGTGACAAATCAACACATCTTCGGGCGTTAGGTGGCATTAAAACCACCATAGAAACTAGTGGAAATCACCATAGAAACAGCAAATAAATGAACATAGAGTATAAAATAAATTTATTCGATAGATTGACTAATTAGTTATAGAAATAAATGGGCAGCATTTTCACCAGTGAACAGGAAAAAAATGTATTATTTTCAAATACCAGACAAAACTATTTAAGTGTGAAAGTTTTAGTCCTACTAAGTGTTATTTAATTGATGACAGAAATCCAAAAGGTAATATTTTCTGAACACTATAAAATGACAATAGAAACTGTCAAATAAACTGTAACCAACAAGTTATATCAAACCACATACAAATTTTATTTAAACCTTTTAAATTAACTTTTGTTTAAATAAAAAAATTCATACAGATTATTTGTATGGAGTCAGGAAAGTGCTAATTAGTCAGCATGGTGATTAGAGTCAAAAGACCTGAATTCACATTAATAATTCTACTAATATCAGCTTAATGTTTTAGAACAACAGATATTCTGACATATATGAATACCACTCCCTACAGGGCAGTACTGTCATTTTAGAAATCTATGCAAAATATAAAATTAATTTTTAGTATTAAAAAGATTAATACACTCTACAAGTTATTATTACCACATGGTATGTTGGATGTGTGTGTTCCAAATAAAGACATTTGGGATTTCCCATTAGATGCTGTTGTATGCCACATAAAATTTATGTAAAATATTTTACTCNATTAGTAAAACTGCCATTTGACTTTGAATTTTATGAAGAAGGCTCTGTCAGAGACTACCTCCTATTTTTCATCAATATTTAGATAAGACAGAAACATTTTTTAACAAGCACGAATACAGAATATTATTGTAATTGAAGAATGCTTTGATGAACAATTTAATGAATCACAGTAATTAGTACTTAGCATATACAATATGTTAGACAGTATTCTAATCCATGACACACTTATAGACATAATACCTATAATTTAAAATAAGTTACTTAAAAATTCATTTGAAATGACAAATCGACACATCTTCAGGCATTAGGTGGCATTAAAACCACCATAGAAACCAGTGGAAACCACCATAGAAACAGCAAATAAATGAACATAGAATATAAAATAAATTTATTAGATAGATTGACTAAGTAGTTATAGAAATAAATGGGCAGCATTTTCACCAGTGAACAGGAAAAAAATATTATTTTCAAATACCAGACAAAACTATTTAAGTGTCAAAGTTTTAGTCCTACTAAGTGTTATTTAATTGATGACAGAAATCCAAAAGGTAATATTTTCTGAACACTATAAAATCACAATAGAAACTGTCAAATAAACTGTAACCAACAAGTTATATCAAACCACATAAAAATTTTATTTAAACCTTTTAAATTAACTTTTGTTTAAATAAAAAAATTCATACAGATTATTTGTATGGAGTCAGGAAAGTGCTAATTAGTCAGCATGGTGATTAGAGTCAAAAGACCTGAATTCACATTAATAATTCTACTAATATCAGCTTAATGTTTTAGAACAACAGATATTCTGACATATATGAATACCACTCCCTACAGTGCAGTACTGTCATTTTAGAAATCTATGCAAAATATAAAATTAATTTTTAGTATTAAAAAGATTAATACACTCTACAAGTTATTATTACCACATGGTATGTTGGATGTGTGTGTTCCAAATAAAGACATTTGGGATTTCCCATTAGATGCTGTTGTATGCCACATAAAATTTATGTAAAATATTTTACTCATGTGTACAGTGTGGATATTTGTGCTTTTTGAGAAAATACTACATACATTTTATACACTTTTCATGCAGACAGCTGTAATCCTCAGAAAATTACAAAAATCCCCAAAATGCTGAAGAGGATTGAAAAATTGAGAACTTCTGAGGAGTAAAAGTAAATCAAGGAGATTATATAGAGAAGCAATCAAACTAATGAACATGCACTCCTTTCAAATATGACTGATAGGGACATCAGTTTCATGTGCATTGTCAGCTCGTCACAGGGTAATGGAATAAACAAAGAAAGTGACCACAGAAATCTTAAGTATGATGTCTTCTATATGTGAGAACCAAATTATAAATTATGTTGCACACAAGAAAATAAGCTACCAAACTGTGAGTCAGAAAAAAATTCTATGTCTCACACAAGCCTTAGTATAAGAAGTATGTCTTAAATGGTTAAGTCAATGCAATGGAAAAACAGAAAACCAAATTATCTGGAAATCACAATAAACTATAAGCTTGACTAGTCATATTTGGAAAGACCAAAAAGAAAGAAAACTATTAAAAATATAATAAATCAGCTTAATATAAAATACATAGGTTAAACATTATATTAGACTGACCTGATGAGAGACGTAGTGAACAAAAATATTGAACACAGTGAATGCAGTCAAATACAATAAAGGGAGTCAAAGTCAAAGAAAATACAAACAGAATTATACAGTAACAAACTATAGAATGATGTTTTGGTCAATGGCAAACCACAGATATGACAGTGGTCCCATAAGATGACAATGTCTAGCTAGGTGTGCAGTAGACTTTGCCATCTGCATCTGCATTTATGTGAGTATACTCTATCATGTTCACATGACAACGTCACCAATAACGCACTTCTCAGAATGTATCCCTGTCATCAAGCTACACACGACTGTGCATACAAGAAGACTAGAATGAGGGAATAAAGCACAAGTAATTGTTTCACTAGAACATATAAATAATAAAGGGAACAGTCAAATAATTGGTGACTTACAAGTTTCTAAAATTGAAAACAAGATGTGAATTCTTGAATTCACAAGTGCAACACATGAAAAAGAGAAATACATAGAAAATAATTTTTAAAAAATAGTCAAATACCAAAGAGGAGAAAAACACTTAAAATGAGTGAGAGAAAAAGAAATAATCTACAAAGGTGAGAACAATGTCTCCACAGCTTGTGTAGATCCAGAAAAGAGAAATGGATATTAACAGTGCTGATAAATTATTATTCAAACTAGAATTGGATATTTAGCTAAAATATTTAATGAATAAGAGTAAATAATATTTTCAGAAGTAATAATACTGACGTTTGATTACCAATAGGAACTTCTTCTTAAGAGTGCACTTCAAGAACAAAAATTTTCCTACAGATGGCAAAATAAAAATGAAAGAGTAAAAATCTGGATGTGAGAATAATAAACCATGGTAGACATTAAGCTAAAGGAACTATGGAGCCCTCGGTAGCATCAGAATCACATGTATTTTGATATAAAAAAAGTGTAATTTCAAACGTTTTATTTAAATAGTGTAACAAATCATATGCTTCTTGAATAATTTAACCAATGGCAGAAGAACCTATTTTTCAAAAAACTTTTTTCATCATTAATTTATTAAAATTTGTTGTCACTTCTGTTGCATATTTTCAAAATGTTTATTATTCTTTTATCAGAACCGATTTGTACGAAGGAACAGACAGTAGCATAGACATTGAGCACAAGCTTCTGAACAATCATAAGAACTGGGTCATGTGTCCATAACATAATGGAGGAGGATATGATGATTAAGTCCACCCAGTATGTGACCACAAAGCAACTCACCAGCAGCAGGATGGTCTGTGTGGCCCTTTTCTCTGGGGAGGTTCTTGGAAATAAGCTGGTGCTGTGAAGATGCTGGGATCGCCTCTTATGCCTGAATAATAGAATCACCATGTATGCACTGGAGAACAGCATGACTCCCACAAAGAAGACATCCCTGGATGTTGTCAGAGTGAAAAATACTCTCTTGATGATGGAGTTCATGGGGGAAAGTGAACAGTAATTACTGACATGCAGTAGACTGATCTGGGTCACATTGGAATAAGCTACAGTGTAGATGATGATATAACTACTGAAAGACAAATTGAGGCACCAAAATAAGAAGAAAATACAGGTAATATTATTTCTAAGTGTATGTTTAAATTTCAGCAACCCTGAGGTGCTGGGGCTGATGGTGATGGCCTGGAACACGCACAGGAAGCAGGTGGTACAGATGGAGAGGCCTCTCATTACTATGTTTATGTAAAAAATTGCCTTACATTTCAAGTCGTTTTGAAAATTCAGTGACTCAAACATGTCTGGAGACAAAAAAGCAACTGCAGTCAGGAGCATGAGTATGTGGAAAAGGCTCAAGTGACAGGAAATCAGGTCAGTGAATTTAGATCTGTCATTCTGAAGGAGTGTCAAAAGGTGGAAGAAAAGGAGAAAAGTGTTGGCTGAGATTCCAATGCCAGCTTGGAAAACAAAGCATTTTTTAATGATAACGTAAGTGGAGAGTATGTTCATTTTAATGGCATAGGTGAAACATATTTTGTATATCTGAAAAAAAAATAGAACTCATATCATCAACGTTTGTTATTCAGTGGTCAAAATCATTACCATTATCATCATTTCTATTTTACCCACTGATTCTTGATTCACCCTGACTATCTCATATAAATTCTTGATAATACAGACTCTGCATTATTTTCTCCAGCAAGTAACTTTATCCATATAAAACATCAACACATTCACAATCATGCCTGTAGGGGTGCACATGATCTGTATTGCTATTGCACCTGATCCTCCCTATTAGAAATCATATCTTTAATGTTTTGCATTATCTTATTTTATATTTAGCACCCAAAACAGTAACAGACATATAAAATTAATGGTATTTGT